TCGGAGTTACGTCCAGCGACACACTCTTGTCTACATATCGCCAAAACCTCAACATTACGTAGAATCCGCAGTTGTATCCGTCTGTCTGGATCGGTCCATTGACGGACACAACTTTGAAGTCTTCGCTGAGCGTAGTAGCCAGATCCCACGACATGCGGTCCAGTACGTCCTTGTACGTCTTCAGGTTCATTGAGTCGTAGTACAGGACATTGTTCTGCTTACCATCCACGATCATTGCACACCAATGCATGTTCCCAAAATTTACAGGAATGAGCAGTACATCCGCTTCAGTGAGTAGTTCCTGAACCTTTGTCTTCAATTTTTCACTCACAGATTTCTTCTTCTTTGACGCCGAGGCTGCCTCGACACCGACGATGCGAACGCCGGTGCCCGTCCTGTACAATCTCGCGCAAAAAGCCAAAATCAGCGCATCATTAGCCCATTGGGGCGGCTTGAGACGGTACAGCATCGCGTAGTGGTAATTGTTGCCGTCAATTGGGATGGTATCTTGGGGATAGGCGCGAGCAATGGCCTCTGCCATGCTCTGAAGTGTCGATTGTTGTGCTGCTGGTATGGCGCTGGCTGCATCCTGTGTTAACCATTTGGTAAACGCCATTCCATCATCACACGAACGCTTTACGTTTGCTAAGTATGCCATGGCCTCAATCTGTTCGCGTGAAAATGTTCCGATACCCGCGATGTAGACACACTCGATCTCCGGGTTTTGTCCGTTGCTGTCCATGATTTGTCCAGGTATTGTAGATGTTTCTTCGTCTTTTTGTGTAGTTTGACTCTGGGTGAGTACATCGATGGCTGTTTCATTGGTGTTGCTCACAGGCAGCACGGCAACGCACTTGTCCAACAGTTTGGGTGGAAGTAGGTAGATCGCGTTTTCATTCAGCACAGGCGCACTCTCTCTAGTGTACTTGGGTTTCTTGCTACCCGCGTTGTTGTACTTGGTTTGGAGTGGCAGAACACGACGTAGAGTGTCTTGAAGTGGAGGCTTCTCAAGTTGAAGACTGCGCGCAAGTTGTATTAATGTCACCTCTCCAAGACATCTTCTATGGGCTTCTGACTCGTTAAACAACGCTCGTTTCTTCTTGTCGTCTGCTTCTCTCTCCTTTCTGTTCAACCGGGGCCTACCAGACTTCGCAGCTTTGGGGTTCAGACGGATGCGCAATCCACTATCAGTATTTTTCTCTTCGTTGTCATCAGGAGTGGTCTCAAGCACAAGCTGCTCCATTTCGGGCTTGGTTCCGGTTCGATTTCGGCTGGTTGTCACTGGAGAGGTCACTTCATCTGTTTCTGTTTCTTCACTCGTGACTGGAGCCTTCGTTTTTTCAACCTTTACACGTTTGCGCTGCCTAATGTTCCTCCATTGTTGCACGACGAAGTCTAAATGCTCACGGTACTCGTCGTCATCAGAGATATCGGCTAGCTCACTGCATATAGACTGGAACGCGCTGACTGCCTCCTTGTACTTAACATTAGCGTCAAGCACCTTGTGTTTCGCCTCCCCTGGTTTAAACTCATTAAGCACAAAAGGCCGCGGAGTCATCGGTTGTTCAGCAGGATGTAACCATCTAAATGAATGACATGTCAGACCCTCAGTACAACATCAATATTGGATATTACATGGACAAATCACGGCTTATACGTGGATAAATTGTGAGTTAACCCACCTTTCATCGATGCAACTCAGCGGTATTACGCTTCCTGGGGCGTTACTCCACTTCCGAAACGCGATCGCGTGTTGACAAGGCAGACGCATTGCAGAAGCAAACGAGCAAGTGCAGCTCCACGTTTTCAAACCCACAGCATGCGTCTTGTGTTTACCCGTCACCTCCACGAAGCCTGGATTTGACTTTAAGTCGAAATTGAACTTGTCGACCTTCGAACATGCCATTACGTACTCCTTCTCCACGTGTGTTGCTACGAAATGCGTCGTAAAGCGCAAAACTTGGCACATCTCCTCGTCGTAGTTGCGGTTGACACGTAACCCGATCCTAGTCTTGTCGAACACGTATTCACTGGAAGTCCTGGCATCAGCACCCACAAGGGCCTTCACGGTGTCCGTCATGGTCGTGTTGGAGTTTACCCCGTCCTTAAAATGCCCAAACCAATTCTCTAAATGGTTGTTCGTGTGGACGCGCAAATGTGCCAACCGTGAGCGTTGGTACATGACCCACATCTCCGTACAAGTGTTCCAGTTTTCATCCATGTAGTTGTAAAATGCCATATATCCAGTCCTAGTGCAAAGTGCCTTCATGGAGGTCCAATTGGTCTCGTAGATCTCTGAACTTAAGGCATATACCATGTTGTGGACTAATGCGTCGATGGCGTCGTGATCGTCCGACGAAAGTTTACCATATTCTGGCTTCCTGGACGCTGTGCGGAGATATTTGATGACGTGAAAGACGCAAATCAACACGCGCGACTTAGGGAAGTACCGACGCAACACGCGGATCTCATTCAGATCTTTGTCGACCATTATAACTTGAACCTTGTCGCCAATCTTATCGTCAATCCGAAATAGATGATCCAGCGCTCCGGACATCTGCCAATCGGCGTTTCGTTCGAGCAAAGACTGTTGTACAGGCTGCCCACGCCCATTGTCGTCTATCATCATGAAGGTACAAAGCTGGTAGTTGTATCTAATGCACATTACATGGACAAGAATCGCACAATACATGGGCATGACATTAAAATAAGCATGGACAATACATGGACAAATAATTGCACAATACATGGGAGGACTTACCGATTCGTTTTGTGGGTACAGTCCACAAGCAAAAGCTCTGGAAACCTAGTAACCATGTCGCGCATATGTCTGGAAGTCATACTGATCACACCAGTGTGTCCCGCATCAGTTTCGTCCACCGTGACTACGTTACCGTCAATAGCTGCGAATTCCGCGAGAGTTGCGGCGCAAGCGTCGTCGTCATTCAACCCTCCTCTTATCTCTGCTTTAACACGTTGCACAATGTTGTCCACATCCTTCTTGACGAGGTTCTCGCCTCTCCCCAGAAGATACTCATAGATGCGTGCGCGCTTTCTACCGTACATCACCATGCTGTCCACAGCATCCTTCGTGTCCGTGTCGTCCAACCTACGGTTCTCCGCGTACGTCTTGAACTGCGCTGTCCCCACCGCATGGTTGTGCTGGTACACACCGTTCTTCACGCGAAGGCAGCATAAGCCGTCAACTTGCACGAGCTGCACCACAAATCGAAATGGACAACCGCATCCTCGGACGAAGTGCTTGTTCGCAATCCGCTGCTCCTGTCTTTTGCTGGCCAGCCATGTGTGCAGATGTATGTGCGTTGGTAAGCACCCCACGTCTCTGGTACGTACGGAACATCCATTCCCTGCTTTGCTGCCGCTGTTTGACCCAGCCGCTTGTTTCTCAATACGCAACTAAGCGTTGACTGGATGCGGATGACCTGGCGGGACTTTACCGAGTAAGCCTTCAAATACTCATTCCACGCCGACCAGCTCGGATACGTCACGTCTGCGGGGCCCTCCACAAGGGAGGGAGAGTCTACGACCTGGACAATACATGGACGCTTGAAATCGTCCGTGTCAGGCGAGGCGTCGTCCGAGTTTGCAGCCGCGCCGGAGGCTGCGGAAGCCGTGGTGTCGATATCTGAAGAGGAGTCGGACGATCCACCCTGTATTTACAAATAGATAACGCACGGTTAGAAACACGTTCACAGAGACCACAAACAGCAAGATAACGCACCTCAGACGTCGCGGAAGCGGGTAGACTGAGCGACATGGCCGGCGATTGCAGCAACGGTTGATCTCGTGACGTAGGCTGCGGCGTGCAGGTAACGGAGCGGCGGCGGCGGCAATGCTCGAAGGGGGGCGAGTTTGGGTTTGAAAAGCAAATGAAAGGCTGGTGTGATTGGTACAACTACCGGTATACAGTATTGTACCGGTATTAACTACATAGATCACATCGTGGACAATACACGGATGAGAGTTGGACAATAATTGCACTCAACGACTGGGTTGTTTTTATAAATTACCGAATGAAAATATTTTACATCATGGACATTACATGGAGTATTACATGGAAAATAAGCGGATTTGACGCATGGACTGTAGCATTTCCGTTTTATTATTGCAGTACACATAATTTAAAGTGGTAATAACCCGGACTCGAGATCTGCTCACCACCACACAAATACACTCTAAGGCGTTTAAGACGTAGTCTGCGCCGACCCACAAGTGCTGTCTTAAACCTTGTACGTCTTTAAGTAGCTTAGCGAGGGGCTTTGTTCGAGTTGCTCAAATTGAAAAGTGAGGACGTGAGCAAGCTGTGTGCTTAGAGAAGTGCTGGTAGGAGAGAGTTTAAGTACAGTAGTGAAAAGTCATGGTTGGTTGTGAGAGGTACATAATGATAAAGAGGTTTTTCTCATAAATTATGTCGGATGATTCCTTAAGCAAATAAATTATTAATAACATCCAGGTAATCGAAGAAATAAATAATTTTATGATTTCATAAGAAATAATTGAAAAGACCATGCCATAATCGGGAGCCCTGGTTAGGTTTGCGCGCTCAAAATCATTTTTTTGGTGCGCTTGGTGCACTGGTGAATCACAAGATTTCTCGTATCGACCGTTTACCGCAAGTGCAGATATGGGTCACTGTGGTTATCGAAGTAACCGGTATGCACGCGCAAAGTTGACCGTGTACTATTGATACCAGCTTCCATGTCCAGATTTGCTTGACATTGTCTGTATGCATTTGTTAGTGGGCCGTAAAAAAGAGGTTTCAGTGTGCCGAATGTAGCTCGGAGATCGACTGTGGGCTATCTTGAGCGGGAAAAAACAACATGAATATTTGCCTCACACCTTCACGTTTGTTCAGGCATGTTAACTCTTTCAGTCTGAATACAACAGATACATTGCACTACAGGTAGTAAACGACGAGTACCAGGACCAATACCCCAGGTTGAGCATGGCAAGAGGTTTATCCCATGAATACATTTGCTGCAAAACATATTATATAGCAAAAAAAGTCATGTATACAGTTACCAATTACTCCTCTACGTCCATGGTGGTGTCTGCCTCGTCGTCGCCCTTCTCGGCCTCCATCTTCTCAATATCCTCCTTGGTGATCAGACCACTTTTAAGCAGCTTGGACTTTTCGGCCTCAACGAAGATGCGGTGGCGCTTGGCGTCCTTCTGCTGTTTCTTCTTGGATGGCCGGTGTTTGCGTAGCACTGTACGCTTACCCTTCTGCAGCACTGCCACCTTCTTCTGATTACGAACTTCGGCGCGCTTCTTGCTGAGAAGCTTCACCTTCTTCTTGTTCATGGTCTGCACTGCCTGGCCGTTGGCGCCCATTGTTGCTAGATGTCCCCTGTTGCGTGCTGCGCTGTTGCTTGCTTTGGAGAATGCAGTTCGCAGTCAAAGTTGAATCGATTGGCCACCACGAAAATGGTACAAAAGTGGTACGCTAGCACAGAAGTACTGTAGTACTCCAAAAGAAGTACGGTACTCTCTCTGGATTAAGTGTACAGACGTTGCTATTAATAAGCAACTTGCTTGCCATGAGCTTCACCTTTACAAGATAGCAAGAAGAACACTACCCGTGCATATCAATTCGGCAATTTTCTTAACTCGCAAGAGCTGCCACACAGCGACATAACGAATAGCTTCTTGAAGGTCGCATTGAAATTGCTCTAAAGATCAACACCTCTCTTGACATAAGATAACTATCTCGACCACCGCACTTCCGCTGCTGTAGATCTTCCGTGCAGAGGCTTTGCCCTGAGTGCTCACTAGCAAAAGCGAATCCGATGGCCCCACGAGACTAAGAACCTGTCAAACTGCATGGACGGTCTACTTCTTCGAGCGCTTGCCTGCTCCCTTCTTGGGGATGGACTTGCCCCGCCGCTTCATCTGGTCAAGCTTGCCTAAGCGCTCCTCGTTCAGAATCTCAAAGTTGGGGTCGTCACCGCCGAGACGTAGCTGCAGCGGCTTGTTGAACCACGAGGCCACCTTGTCACCCTTAAGCTGCTTGCTGATAACCTTGTTGCCCGACGGGATGTTGCGCTGCGGTAGACGCTGGAAAATCTTGCGACTCAGCTCCGCAATCTGCTGGGGAGACGCCATCGTGCTCGTAAAGGACTCGTCACTTATCCGCTCCTCCGCAGCCGCTCGTCCAACACCAATGCAACCTCTGTGATTGGACACTGCTCAAATTACAGATGTAGTCTACTTTCATTTGTATTGACACAAACTAACTCAAAACTCAATACATCCACGAAGTCAAACAGATATGGTAAAATACGCATTGTTCGACAAGCATAGCCCTGATGACGTTCCGCTGGCAATCAAAGCTGAGACCTCATTACATCAGACGCTTCGTCTTCACCCCAACGTTCTCCTCCATTGCTACGATGTGCCACAGCTGCACGTGCAAGATCGGCCCTTCACTGCTGGCGTCGGACCTATCGTGCCTCAAGGACGAGTCTCTGAAAGTCGTGGCTGCTGGAGCAGACTACCTCCACCTGGATGTGATGGACGGCCACTTCGTGCCGAATATCTCGTGGGGCCCACCCGTGATCAAGTCCCTACGCCCACACACGAAGGCTTTCTTTGACTGCCACATGATGGTGTTCAAGCCTGAGCAGTGGGTGCCGGACATCGCGGCGGCGGGAGGCGACCAGTTCACTTTCCACCTGGAGGCGACGCAGGACCCGCTGGCCCTCATCAAGCAGATCCGCGACGCCGGCATGAAGGTGGGTCTGGCCATCAAGCCAGGCACTAGCGCCGAGGCTGCATTTCCGTACGTGGATCTTGTGGATATGGTGCTTGTCATGACTGTGGAGCCGGGCTTCGGTGGCCAGAGCTTCATGACGGACATGATGACGAAAGTGAAGATTATCCGTGCCAAGTACCCGGCCCTGGACATCGAGGTGGATGGTGGTCTGGGACCCTCCACTATTGATGCGGCGGCGAAGGCTGGTGCTAATATGATTGTCGCTGGAAGCTCAGTGTTTAAGGCGGAAGACCTCACGGCAGTCATTTTGCAGATGCGACACAGTGTAGAGAAGTACGGCAACGGCAAGAGCGACGACCAGCTGACCAAGCTGTAGAAAGCTACAAATAACGCAGCCACGTTTTGCAGATCCTCCATGCGCTGTCGCTAACAACCAAATCAATCCAAATGCTATTAGATGATGATGCAAAAAAGTGTATACTAAAGAAGATTCAAGACTACTCCGCAAGATGCTGCTCCAACTGGTAATACGCTCCATCGATTAAGCGCCTCACCCCCTATTTACATATCCTCATCTTCGGTGTCGTCGTCACCAGTGGTGGCAGCGTCCTCAGCTGCAAGCCGCTGGTACTTGTCCTTGGACCAGACGCTCAACACCACAAGCTTGAACTCAGCCATCTTTCGGTCGAAGTGCACTAGCAGCTTAGCCTGTTCGGGGGTCAGTGTCTGCCCAGTCTTGCAAATCGTGTAGTTCTGGTTGAGCACAACGACACCGTTCTTGAGGTCAATAGGCAGTCCCAGACCGCGAAGCGACTCGAGCATGCTACCAATAAACTGTGGCAGCGGACCCTCGGGGATTGTGACCGTCTCAGTGGCAACAAAGCCCGACCGCGGGTGGTCACTGACCGAGAGCTTGGCGAAGTAGTCCACGACCTCATCGTGCGGTTTACTGGTGAACAGCAGACCCGTGTTACCGCTGACGTCTTTGGAGAGGCGGTAGAGGTTCTCGGCATATTCCTCTTCCTTTGAGCGTCCCAGTGCGAGCTTCATGACCTTGTTCTTGCCCAGGAAGAAGCGGCTGTCCTTGAAGTCCATGCGCACCTCTTTAAAGTGGTTCGTACGCATGTTCTGGAAACTGAAAACGTAGGCTGAATCATACGTATCCACCGCATTGCGGATAACGTCCACCACGTTCTGCTTGAGCTCGTTGCCCTTCTTGTTGGCCTGCGTCAGCGGCTTTGTACGTTGTCTCCTGGACTTGGGCATAGCGACGACTTCCTACACGAACGCTTGACTTGTGTCAACAAAGGTGCGTTGGTTGATGCGCGTCCACCAACCAAAAAGGCAACGCTTTGCATCACTTCTTTTTCATCCAATTAAACGTAAAGAATTCAATTGAGGGAACATGAATCGCTTAAATTCCATTTTACGGACATTTGATTGGCTAAAATCATGTTTCACTTACCTCAGCCAGTCGTCCGTCCAGGGGGAAATCCATATTATCGCCTGGAGCACCTTACACCATGGCTTGGGGTCTCGACACGACGCCGACGCCGGCACGGACGCCCGCCGCTGCTGCACCTGCCACTTCCGATGCCTCTTCTTCCACTGTGGCGGCTTTGGGACCGGCTCCCGAGTCCACTGAGGCCATTGACATCTTCGAAGGTGTGACTCCCGTTACGAGTGTTGCGCTGGAGGGCGTGGCGCTACTGCAGATCATTAAGCACTGTCACGAAAGCCTTCCCGGCGGCGTGGCTGGATCACTTTTAGGTGTGGACAATGAACAGGTGCTGGAGGTGACCAACAGCTTCCCGTCGCCTCCCAGCAGTGAGCGTAAGAAGGGTGCGGACGAGTATCAGCTGGACATGATGAAGAGTCTGCGTGAAGTGGGTATGGATAACAATAAGGTGGGATGGTACCAGTCCGTGGCTATGGGCACTTTCTGCACGGCCTCTTTCATCGAGCACCAGTTCCAATACCAAAGGTCGCTGGGTCCGAACGCCATTTGCCTCATCTACGACTCTGCCGAGACTTCCAAGGGATCGCTCAGTCTGCGTGCTGTGCGTCTCACCAAGGCCTTCATGGACACATACAAGACCAATTCATTCACTAAGGAGATCTTCGCTAAGGCTGACATCCGCTCGGCCACTGTGGTGGAGGAAATCCCCATTGAGATTCGAAACTCCGACATCATCACGTGCTGGTTGCAACAGACGGCGCACGCTAAAGATAGCGCCACGGCCAGCAGCTTTGAGCGTCTGGACTTAGCTACCAACGCCTACCTGGAGAGCAGCCTGAAGAACATGACGTTGTGGGCCGATGAACTCGCACAGGAGCACTACAAATTTCAAGGCTACGAGCGCGCATTATCTAAGCAGCGCGCCGCCTACCAGCAGTGGCAGAATAGACAGCGGGAGGAGAACAAGGTACGTCGCGAGAACGGCGAGGAGCTTGTGCCTGAAGAAGACCCCACCTTTTTCAAGTCGGTGAACCAGCCTTCGCGTCTTGAGTCGCTCCTCATTACCAAGCAGATGAGCACGTACTGTGAGCACATCAACCGCTACGCCGGAAAGTCCTTCCAGAAGCTCTTCCTGGCTGCCAAGATTCACCAGAACGAGTAAAACAGACAGGCAGATCGTGGGCGTGGTGTCTAATTTTTGCGGATCTAACCGGCAGCAGGAATCTCCAGAGTCAGGGCGACGGTGTTTGGTATTAAGGTCACAGGTTCTTGGGTAGCAGTTTGGCAGTAACATGTCGACAAGGGCTAGATAGAACAAAGGTGGATGGAATGTGGTGCTTCCCCCCCACTTTGAGGATTGAGTCCCTTCCGTTCGCTCGTTCATTAAAGGAGAAATCCGTTCATATGCTATATCTTTCTATACCAAGTTGTTGTTTTACCTGTAGAGATGATGGAGTTGCGGGTTCGCTTTGATCTCAGCGATCTCGGCATCCATTTGAGTGGCACGGCGCACCAGTCGCTCCTTGACTGACAGCAGATTATCTGGAACGAATTTGATCGTCAACGACTGCAAGAACGAGTGCCACGTGTTGGAATCATCCATGATATCTGCTCGATGAACAGTTCCATCGTCGGAGTTACCAATATGCAACATGGAGCCAAAAGGCTCGCTGTGTTGCACTTGTTCACGATGTTCTGGATTATTTACCGGAGCTAGCAGCGCAGTGTCCCCATTGCGGATAAACTCGAACAAAGCACAGAGTTGATTCATAGTCTCCATGCGATTATTACCGGCCATTCTCGTGTCGTGTTGGTTGCTGCTCTTTTGTTCGTGCATACCCAGATCTAAGCGCGAGAGAACCCATTTGACTCTATGCAAGAGCATTTGGTCTTCTTGTGTTCCAGCTCCCTTTGAAGCATTCTGCACCTCCAGTTCCGTTCGATCCAGCTCAATCTTCGATAAAAGTTCGCGTCTCTTGTTAGCGTGCAGTGTGATGACGTCTTTAAGGTCTTTCGAGAGCAGCGGGTTGTCTCTGTACATGGTCTCGATGCGCTCCACTGTGCCAGGATGGACAATTCTTACTGCTTCAAGCATACCCTGCACACGAGCGATACTCTGTTCAGCCTGGTGAATACCGAAACGTGTAGCTTGTGTAGTCTCGTGTAATTGAGCAAGTTCTTGCTGCTTCTCCTTGAGTTTGTCTTCTAGCTGCACGATTGACGCTTGCAATGCTGCTATATTATCTCGATATAGCGCTGCATTGGCTTCCAGCCCGATACACATACGCTTCTGGTCCTCAAGACTGCGTAATAAATGAACTTTGGAATGCAAGCCTTCGATGTGGCCGAACAACACTTGATGCTTCCACAACCTAAAGAAATTGTACTTGATATGACGTCGTTGGCGACGCTCGTAAGCAACACAAATGCTCTCCTTTGCCGCCCGTGCAGCGCGTCTGCGAGCCATGAAAACATACCATCGTCGAAACGGAATCGTATATATACGCCGTGAGTACGCGTGCCATTCCTCCACAGTATTTTCCCGTAAAGCGTGTTGATATTGAGCTCGAACGCGCCAGCGTTTCATGAGCCAGTTCAGCGTTTCCTCCGTGCTTCCCTCAAACAGCCGTCGTACACGACGGATAAGCTGGCAATGCTTAAACCAGGCACGTAGATGCTTGAGCATGTGTGTTCGTCGGTAGTGAGCATCGATCTTGCGAAGGTTAAAGTGCTGATCGTATCGTTCAAGAGTGCGTTGTTCAACTGCGCTTGCGATGGCTTTGTCAATTTGAGTTGCTCGAAAAATCTTCACCCATTCGTCCATGACGCGTTTGAGGGCTTTCCGATGATCGTGGGCTATCGCAACATCCATATTCCTCTTCAAAGGGACGAATACTATGCCCTTCATCAGGTGGAAGTAGCGTTTGAGTACGTGCATTGGGTGTCGAGTACGAATTCGACGGATGTTGTCTTTGAGGAACTCTTCATGGACCATTTCCTGGGTGATGAGATCGAATCGTTCCATCGCTTCTAGGCGTTGTCTTGCGGCGTAGTGGCGTGCTCTGGCATCAGCTGAAGCTCTCTTTCGACTTCGTGGGCCTAAAGCTGCCGATTTCCATGGTAGGAATACGTATTTCAACAAATTGCATTGTCTCTCTCGGAAACGACGCTCCGTTTCTTCGAGCCTTGCCATCTTCACCGGCAAGTTCATGAGTACGACATCGCGTATTTCAGCCAGCACACGACGCAAGAAAAACCGAGTTCGCTCTTCTTGCATGATGTTAATCTGTTTGTTAACAAACTCTTCGCGTGCTGCGAATTCCTCCATGTATGTGAGAAAGAGGATGCTCTTTCGAGAGCGCCATCCTCCAAGAGCAGCCTGCAATTTCTGGTATCTACGACGGACTACAAAGCCTCGACACGTCATCGATATCTTCGTAGCCGCTAGATGGCGTTGCTTATCGCCTGAGGCTACTTCGTGGAACACCTTGTCCAGACGTCGCACTGTCGAGCGAATATCACGCACACTGTAGCTTACTTGAGCACTAGCCTTCGGGTTCACCGACGTCGTTCGCCGTATATGATCATTGTTTCCTCCAACAACTTTGTGTGCGTTAGAGACTTCCTCTATACTATTCTGCAAGAATTTTTCAATCCCTAACTGATGAACATTGCGTTTATCGTTCGAAGATCTGGCTGTCCACTTTTCCGTTCCAAAGCTTGGAGTTGCAGCCAAGTTCGCGGCTACACGATGCAATCGCTGGTCGAGAATTGCGATCTCACTCGACATTTGCTGCATAAACTTCATCGACATGGGTGGTGCTCCTGCTAACCCTGCCGTACCAGCGGAAGATTTCGACTCACTTCCAGCCGGAGCTGTCGACACATGGGCTCCAGCACGATTGCTATCTGATAGATCTGTTGGGGTGTGAGATTATTGGAGAAAACGCAGCAGTATCAGCAGACCAAGCTCGCAATCGATTCATAGCGGCAATGCAGAAAGCTACGCACGCATTGCACTTGCAGTCCCTCGAGGGGCCGTCGATGTCTGAGAACGCCGAGTCGAGCCGTAAGAGGGCAGCGCCGCTGAGAAGCGTGTAGAGGATGTGACACTGTCCCCATTGGCCAAACGGTTAAGCAGAACTTCCTCCACCGACTGCTGTCCCGGCGCTAAACGAGAAGCCTTCCGCACCATTTTGAGCTACTTTTCAGAAGACGGACATTAAGTTTGTTTAGAAATCCAATCAGAAAGCTTTATTGCTGTTTTTAAAAACTAAAAAAAGCAAAATCGTTTCTTTTTGTTTTAAACTTTTGTTTTTCTTAGCAAATAGAAACGCCTTATTTTTGTAAGAAAAATTGAAAATGCATAAAACAGATTTTTTAAGTTTAAATGATTTTAAAATAAATTGAAGTTGAAAAGAATTATTCTTTCGCTCTTAAACCTAAAAGAGAAAGCTTTAGCAGCAATGATTGTGAATAATTGCTTTTTTTGAGCTGGTCATTTCACTTCAAGTTTCTTCATGGCCCGACCCCAAGGCAGA